ATGGGTGTCGGCTTCATGATCCCCACGGCGAGTGCTTGTGTCTTGGCCACGTTTACAGCCAGTCTCCACTTCTCCAGTCATTCAGGGAGTGCATCTAGGGCGCGCTGTAGTTTGACTACTGCGTGCCTGGGATTCAGCGACGTCGTGTAGTAGGCGGCGTCGTCGGCGTACAGGGCGAGCTTCACGCCGTCCACGACGGGGATGTCGTCCGTGTACACGCAGTAGCACACGGGAGAGATGCAGCTTCCCTGGGGCACGCCGGCTCCGATGGTCCGCTCGGTCGACAGGGCGCCTTCCACTGCCACTTGGAAGGTTCTGCCGTGCAGGAAGGTGGCCACGATCTTGACTAGTCGTCGAAGAGTAGTAGATGTGGCCAGCTTGCTGAGCAGGCCGGCATGCCAGACGCGGTCGAAGGCCCTCTCCATGTCGAGGAATATTGCCGCGGCGCGCTCACGCTTGTTACGCGCGGCCGCCAGGTCGTGCAGTACCCTCGCGACTTGCAGGGTGGTTGAGTGTTCGGCCCTGAAGCCGAACTGTTCGACGCGTGGCTGGAGGTGGGGTCGCAGGTGCAACAGCAGCAGCTTCTCGAAGAGCTTCGAGACGGTGTCCAGGAGCGTGATGGGGCGATAGCTCCCCGGCAGCAGCGTGTTCTTCCCCTGTTTGGGCAGCATGATTACCCTGCCGAGCTTCCACTTGGAAAGGAAGTGTCCGGTACGGAGGATCCCATTGAAGAGTCGGGTGAGTGTCGCGATTCCTCGCGGCGGTAGACGGCGAAGGGCCTCGTTGGGGATGCCGTCCGGACCGGGTGCCTTGCGTAGTGGGGCCCGCAGGGCCATACGCCGCACCAGGCCAGGGGAGAGCACGACTGGGTCCTCTTCGGGGGAGATCGGTTGCTCCAGGTACTGCGCTACCTGAAGCTCGACGGCTGCTGTGTGTTGCACGTTGCGGGCTGGGTTGGGCTGGAACTGTCTCTCCAGGGAGTCGGCGAAGAGCTCCGCTCGGTCCTCGGCTCGGTAACGGGGTGTGTTGTCACCGGCCAGGAAGGGTCTAATCGGGGCCGGCTTCCCGGAGAGATTGCGGCACAGTCGGTGTATGCCCGACCAGTCGTCGCTCACGTGCTCGATGGCGCGTTGCCACGATTCGGCCGCGTGGTTGGCCACGGCGGACGAGATTCTCGCTGCCAGAGCGTTGAGCACGTTCTTCATGGTCGGGCATCGGGTCCTCTGCCATTGCCTGCGGAGTCTCCTCTTCCTCTCGATCATGGCGAGTATGGTGGCTGGGAGAGGTGTTGGCCTCCTCGGTGTCGACACGTTTGGCAGCTGGGCCTCGGCGAGTGCGGCCTGGGTGGCCGTGGTGAAGTCGGCGGCGAGGCGGTCGACGTCTGCCGGCGTGTCGACCCGGTAGGACGGCGAGTTCTGCGCCATGTGTGCGGCGAAGGTGCGCCAGTCCCGCCGTGGGCGAGAGGGTAGTGGTCGCAGGCGTTGCGGGATGTCCTCGATAGTCAGACTCACTGGCTGGTGGTCTGACCGGAGATGATCGTCCAGGACGTTACAGCTGACCGTTGCGGTGATGCCTCGCAGGACGGCCAGGTCGATGACGTCGGGCATCAGCTGCCGGTGGCCTGGGTAGTGCGTCGGGGCCTCCGGGCCCAGCACCACGTAGTTGTGGAGCTCTGCATCGTCGAGCAGGCGGCTGCCTTCTCTGGTGTTGGCGTTCGCGTTCCACGCTGTGTGCTTCAAGTTGAAGTCGCCAGCGATGATGGTGGGCAGCGGCGAGTCCAGCAGGGTGTGGACGTCGCTCACTGCGAGGCGGTAGTGTGGCGGCCTGTAGAACGCGAACACCCGGGTCGGCTGTTGGTTGATGCAGATCTCCACGCCCAGCGCGTAGGACGCGCGCAGCGTTGGCACCGGCAGTAGCTGGTGGACGATTCTTCTCCTGACCAGGATTGCCAGCCCTCTGTAGGCAATCCCTGACGGCGAGATGTGGTCCTCCCGGTAGACATAGAAGCCAGCCATCTTCAGCTTGTCCACTGGTTTGAGGTGCGTCTCGTTGATCAGGGCTACATCAGCTTGCCGTTGGTCTAGTAGCAGCTTCAGTAGCCTGGTCTTCTCTGGGGACATCCCGTTGGCGTTCCAGTATATGATCCTAAGGTGCCGCTGGTCCATCGCAGGGACTTGATCGCGTCTAGGAGCAGCGGCACTGGATCGCTCCGCTGGGTAACGAGCGCCGTCACGATCCCTTGCAGGATTCGGACGACGTCGTTGATGGAGAGTGTCTGTGGCGGAGGTCTCGGCGGGGCTTGCCGCTTCGCCTTAGTTGCGGCGGCGGCAGGCGCTTTAGCGGCGGCAGGCGCTTTGGCGGCGGCGGTGTGCGTCACGGTGCGGGCGACGACGGGGGCGGCGGTGGCAGCGGGAGCGGGGGCGGCGGTGGCGGCAGTGGTGGCAGGGGGCGCCTGCTTCGCCTTCCTGCGCCTGCGCCTTGTGCGGCGCTTGCTGCCCGGCTCGTTGGCTGCGGCCATGAGGGAGCCAGCGGTGGCACTGCGCAGGGCCCTTCTTGCCCCGCCATGCCTCGATCTTGATCCCGGGCATGCAGAGCAACTCCGTTACTCCGTAGATGCCCGGGATGGTGTCTTCGGTGCGCGCCACCTGGGCGTAGAAAAGACACCCAGGTCGTCCCTGGCGCGCACGGATGGGGCGGACGTACTCGGCGTTGTAGCCGCAGTCGCGCAGAGCCTCGTGAATGGCGTCCACTGGCGTCTCCGCAGGCAGCCCTCTGATGGCCACCTTCAGGCTTCGCTCCGCTGGTAGGGAGTAGGAGAACCAGGCTATCCCCTGGGTCCTCTCCAGGTCTGTGAGGTAGGCCTGGATACTCCTATACTCCACGTCGGAGCGGGGCGTAAAGCGCACTCCTTTGCCGAAGGGGCGCGCGTTGGGCGCGTGTCCTAGCCGCTGCCTCAGCTCCGCGAAGTGCTCGACCCAGTTGGGGAGCTTCTCCACGATGAGTGGTGGGTAACGCGCCCTGGGGGCGGGGGCGCTAGACGGCGCGGGTGCGGGGGCGCTTGTCGGCGCGGGTGTGGTGGCGGTTGTCGGCGTGGGTGCGGGGGCGTCGGTGTTGCCGGCGGCAGGAGTCTTCGGCGCGGTGGCGCCGACCGCTGCAGGTGCAGGGGCGCGTGTGCCGGTGGAGGTGGGCGACGCAGCGGCTGCGTACGTCGCCTTGGGCGCGGCCACTTGCTGGGGCGGCGCGAATGGTGGCAGGATGGGGGGCGGGCGGAAGGGCGGCGAGGTGTAGATAGCCTGCCGCTTGCCCGCCGGCTCCTTAGTCGGCGAGGGAAAGCGTCCCGGCATGCTGTTGTCCGGGGGCGCAGGCAAAACAGGTGCGGCGCGCGGGGGCGCAGCGCTTGGGGGCACGGACTGAGTGGGCGCAGTCGCAGGTTGGTGGGGCCTCTTCGAGCGCGAGCTGTCGAAGTCTTCGTGCCCGACGGCGGTTTGTAGCTCGTCTTCGAAGCCGAGGTTGAGGTGGTGGCGTGGGCCCGGGCAGCTTTGGCCGTAGCGTCGGCAGGCTGCGCCAGCGCGGTCCTCGGTGGGGACCTTGGCGTAGGCCGGGGGGTTGCGGGCGTTGCGGCGGTGTGTGACACCCATGTCACGAGCCGTGGTGGTGGGGCGTGGGGGTGCCACGTCCATAGGTTCTGGCGCGCTCGCGGTTCTCGCCGGTGCGGTCCACGAAGGTGGGGCCGTATGTGGCGGCGGCGAGGGCGACGCCGGGGTGTCGGGGGTCGAGGTGGGCGGGGGGAAGAATTCCTCCGCCGATCCAAGGCTTCCGGAGGCTATGCGCGACATCGATGCGTCCTCGGGCGCCTCGGACCATCGCTGCACTGCAGCCCGTATGTTGACGCGCTTAGTGGGCCGCTGTTGCGAGCTTTTGTGCACGCGCCCCTGCTCCTTCCGGTCCCGGTTGGGCTTGGAGGACGAGCGCGGCGGCGACGACGACGATGCCCCACTTCCGTGAGGCACTGCCACTTGCTGGCAAGCTGTGCACCGGGTGCGTCAGCAGGTCACTTGCTTACTGCCAGCAGTGAGCCGCAGTTTCGCTTATATACCCCTGGTTAGGTTCTGGAACATTCAATTTCGTTATTCTTTTTGATTGTCATGACTCCAGAACCTTCCAATAATTTCGTTATTCATTTTTATTTATTCTCCTTCTCGCTCTTTAATTTTTCATTTCTTTCACACAAAAGCTTCCAGAAAGTTCCACAAAAACTTCCATCAACTAAAAAACTTCATGCTTACGGCGGGACTCGAACTCGGGGTCTCTCTGGTGTAATCCACGCGCCTTACCGATTACACCAACTCGTGTTGACAATTCACGACGAAATTTACAATCTCTAGGCAACGTTTGACAACCATCCATTGACGTCATGATGTCAAAGAGTTTGAACCACTTTTCCGTCACAATACACTACAATTTATTTACAAATCTACAATTCATTAATTGGCGATAGCAGGTGCTGCAGGTTTTTCTGATAGCTCAGTTGTTGTAACTGCAGACTCTGTTGTCTCCGTACTCTCCACAACTTCTGGCTCAGGTTCAGGCATAACCCTGGTCAATTTGGAAGGTTCTTTAGGTGGAGTCCAGTCAGGGATGATCTTATCATGGATGCGCCATGTTCCGTACAGATTAGACAGATGTTTTTCAAACACTATGTACTCTAAGACGTCTTTCGATAAGATCTCACTTCCATGAAGAAGTCGACCGAATCTGTCATATACTGCTAGCTGTTAATATTTTATTTGAATTTCAAAATCTTCAAGAGAAATAAGTAAAATTTTTATCTTTAATTTTTGGTGAAAAGCCAGGAAGGGTGATATTGTAATAAATGATTTAGATTTTATACAACCTAATGATCTTAATTTATTTAATTAAACTAAAAAGAAAAGATTAAACTAAAATTATAAATTATTATTCTTAAATCATCATCATCATCATCAGCCTATAAGTGCCCAATGCTGAGCAAAGGCCTCTTCTCACACGGAGAAGGTTTGAGCATTAATCACCACGCTTGCTCAATGCGGGTTGGCGATTTCAAACTTATAATTAGAAATTATAAGTCCAGGTTTCCTCACGATATTTACCTTTACCGTATGTCAGTGGTGTCTAAATAATTATAGAAAGTACATATGTATAACTCGGAAAAAGTCACATTGGTACTTGCCAGGTTTCGAACCCACACCCTCATGCATGAGAAGCGGGCTCCTTAACCTCCGGGCCACCACGACCACCACTATTCTTAAATACTAAAACTTAATGAATAATAAAAAATATCAATTTGTCCTTGGGGAGGCTTTTATTCAGCAGTGGACGCCATCAGGCTGATGATGAAGTTGATGATGATCTTTTATGTTTGGAATATTTTGATTTTATTTGTTTTTATTGCAAGACATCGATTATAGCAATTTTGTTTCCTCTTGTGCAGGGTACGTCGAGTACAGTGGACGTGTCGTCCCCGTCTTCGGTGCTGGGCGGTCGCGAGGCGGTGGTGGAGGCGCGCTGCGTGGTGCGGCTGGAGGTGGGCGGGCGCGGCGTGGCCGTGCGCTGCGGCCCGGCGCGCCGCCTGCGCCACGTGCTGCGCCCCGTCCTCGCCAAGTACGCCGCGCCACACGCCGCGCGCGCCGTGCTCAGGGCCGGCCGTCTGCTGCACCCTGACACACTCATGCAGGTACACTACTTTATATACTGCGCTATGCTAAGTATCGCTTAAAAAGTATATTTATGTAGCTAACTTATAACTAATGTAGAAATTAGTAGTTGTGTCACAATTACGAGCACCGGTGTACCTCGAAATTAATCGAGCACTCTCGATATAACATCTTTTAGTTTGAATAAATATTATGAAACTAATTACACGATACTTATTTCAACTAATCATTTTCGTATTACTTCTCCATAGAAAAATAACCTTTACGGACTAAAAACTAACTATAAAATTTTCTTCGTCAGGAACTAGACGGCGCTCGTCTCCAAATAGTGGAAGTATCAGAGAATGGCGAATACCGCGCTGCTACAGCGGAGTACGAGGTGGACGATGACGCAGACTCACTCAGCGACCTCGCCGTCAGGTTGCAGGACGACGCCATGAAGCAGCCCGATGAAGTGGTCAGTATTCAAATATAATCTATAGATATATAACCAAGATGTCACATATATAAATCCAGTTTTAATGAGCAAAGTATCAAACATGACCTGCGGGGCAGTAGTAAAATTGACGAGAACATGTAGACCCGATAATTTTTGTGCTTCACCAAGGTTTAGGTATTAAAAAAATTAAAATGCTAATCATAATACTTATATATAAAATGTTAATCAATGGAATAATTTCTTAACAATATGTTTGTTGTCCTGGCAGAGCGTGGGCACGGCGAGTGGCAGTAGTCGCGGCAGTAGCGGCGCCGGCCGCGTCCGCGCCGCCCTACGACCCGGGCCTCCGCTACACCATCACCCACCCGGTTCGTACTCCTTGATTACATTTTTCGTTTATGCACACATACAACTTCAATTAAGAATTAATTGCAATCATCTATCTATAAGCGTAGAACATAATTTATCAGTTTCAATAACCACGTTTCTTTATTCCACAGATTTCCTAGAGAATCTCAGAGAGACGCAACGGCAGAGGCTACAGAGCAAGGGCTCGGTGTCTCCGCCGTCGTCCCCCGGTCCACAGCCCCGCAGCCCCCCTCCGCTCCCCCCCAAGCCGGCGCAGCGCGCGCCCCCTACCGTCGTCTGAGCGCACCACTCGCCGGTCTCGGCGCATGATCACCTCACACGACTTCTCCAAGTCACACTTGGGAACCGAAGTAGCCGACCCACAGCTCACAAGACGGACGGAATCCGTCGAGAACTCAGTTTCTGACACAACTGAGACTAATGAGCCATGTCGGCCCCTGTCTGTTGACTCCATGTCAAGGTTGTCGAAATACTTCGAACACAACAAACATTCTGACCTTACATATCTGTAATTTAATAAGAAGCTTTACACGGATGAGAATGTTGAAGGAATTGTGTAAATATAGCAGTTAACGAGCTAATTAAAATAAATCTCATTATTTATTTAATGTACAAAGATTTTGCCATCGGATGATCCTAAAGACTTATAGCGTAGCAGCGATTTACATTGTAATATAAGTTTATCTGAACAACTACTTATGAATGGCAAGAAAGACATGATCTGTAAGAAGCCGTAAAACCAAAGTATTTTTATATTGCAATGTAAACGCCTATACGAGCAAAGAACACGTAAATGTAGCTATAATAATGTACATTAACATTATTTGTATCGAAATACAATATTTGTATTAATTTTGGTGCCTTCCATAGTTATAAGACTGCACTAACCCCCACGAATGAATGGGAACATTGTAAAATTACTCGTTCACACGCAAATGGTTGAAACAGGAGAATTTCATTTTATATTAGTTCATTGTAAATATGTATTTGTAAAGAATTTGTTAAAAAATAAATTTTATATAGATATTCATGGATTTGTATGAAAACAACTTTAGTCTGGATGAAATGAAACAATTTTTTAAATTCATGTTTAGTTCAAAATACGACTCTAAAATCTCGTATCTGGAATCTTGTAAAATATTTGTAATTTTGTAAAAACTTGACCCCAGTGATTTGTAAGAGAAATGGCAGTTATTTTCTTGTTCATAAATAACATTTTATGTAGACTATAATCGGCAGTAGTTACTAAGACAAGAAATATTTCGTGCACAACATTGTTTAAGTTGAATGTCCAAAGTTAGAGAATTTATATAATATTCAGCTAAAGTCAGCTAAATATTTCTTGTCTTGGTAACTTTGTTGGGTTCACAATCAGTTTCATATTCCTACTAACAGAAACGTTTGCCCAATAGTCAAGTAAATAATTTATTTAGATCAATGCGAATGTTTCGCAGAGAATAGATTTTATTGAAATAAAATTATTATTGATAAGATTTGTTGGTTTTATTTAAAGCCTTCGTTTGATCTGTTGGCGTCTTTATCCCTTCTGCTGCTTCAAGAAATATTTTAGAAAATAAAAAAGAGGTAATAGCTAGACGTGTTCTTAAAGAGTTTAATAATAAAAGAATATGGTAAGTATGGTGGATAATAAGTCTATGTGTTTATCCAGAGTATTACCTATGTACTAGTACATAACAAATTTCAACCAATTCGGGCCATCCGTTTTTTCGTAAAACAATAACATCCATACATTGTAACAAACTCTCACATTTATAACAATAAGTAGGATTTTCGTAGGATAGTGGGATAATCGTAGGATAGTAGGATATTCATGGGTTAGTAGGATATTCATGGGATAGTAGGATATTCGTAGGATTGTAAGATATTAGTAGGATATTCATGGGATAGTAGGATATTCGTAAGATAGTAGGATATTCATGGTAGGTATAGTAGGATATTCGTAAGATAGTAGGATATTCATGGTATAGTAGGATATTCATGGTATAGCAGGATATTCATGGTATAGTAGGATGTTCGTACGATAGTAGGATATTCGTAGGATAGTAGGATATTCATATTATTCATGGTATAGTAGAATATTCATGGGATAGTAGGATATTCGTAGGATAGTAGGATATTCGTAGGATTGTTGGATATTCGTAAGATAGCAGGATATCCATGGGATAGTAGGATAATCGTAGGGTAGTAGAGTATTCGTAGGATAGTAAGATATTAGTAGGATAGTAGGATAAGTACATTAGCTGAGTTCAGTAATTCAAACTCATTGTATAACCAGTTGCACTGAATTGTTAGAGACACTGTCTTATCGATGTCAAGCTGGAGAGGTCACGCCTACTGAAGGACCTTATTCATTAGATATACTTACTTCTGCCGATATGTTTAAGGACATCTGCAATCTCAACAGATGAATTTCAAAATCCATGGGACGAGACCCATGCGTGCGTACCTATAATACGGCACGAGTCAAGGACGCCATCGAACGAAACCAAGGCTTAAAAGAATTCGCAAAAAAATATCATTATCATATCAGTATTATATACATTTTTTGTAATATAACACAGATCATCATGTCGTTCATATCGGAAATTCTGACAGTTCGAGAGGTTCTACGGACAGTTGTACACCTTAACTTGGCAACCCATTGTCGGTACAACTCGGGATCCGAGATCTAAACTACTAATAAATAAACGCAATGCTCAGCTACCTCAATACTGTTTTCCGACAGGATAACACGAAACTCATGTCTGCTGTCCATGTTGGTAATCCTTCATTCTGTTGCTCGGGGTCTCTTTGCAGGACAAAATACAAAATTTACCAAACAACCAAAGTTACCGACATATTTAGCTCGTAAAATCTGCAGGATGAAGTGGTCCATTGCCGTTGAAAGCGATGTCACTCAATGGACAGCGATGGTCGATGGGCCCGGAAAGACCTTGAGTGGTCCATCGCCAATGGATGCAAGTGGCGAATTGTCGTTAGACATGGAGAGCTAAGGGCGAAAGCCTTTGATCGGCGTCGTTTGAACGTCTTCGTCAGATGCTATACCAATCTTCGTCAGATGTTATACCAATCTTTTTTTGGCTTAAAACTAGTCGAGTATCTCGTCAAATTATTACGTGAGTAAGCCGAAAACATAATAATTAATGATATACCTACCAAACATTGGATTTTTTATCTAATTGTAGTGGAACCTCCATTAAGGCTAAATATGTTCGACAAGTGTAAGCGAGTGCCCGAACGCGATTAAATGATCATATGTTTTTAAATAAAAACATCAATCTGGTACATGTAGTGCAGTCATTGAATGGCTCAAGTAACGCCATCTAGCAATCTAGAGATAGACCTTGCGGGTTTCCAAAAGCTGTCGATCAAAAGATGGCGTAAACAATAACTTCTACTACTCTACTCTACTACTACTCTATTAACTCAAAAATTACAATACACTACAATTTATTTACAAATCTACAATTCCTTAATTGGCGATGGCAGGTGCTGCAGGTTTTTTTGAAAGCTCAGGTGTTGTAACTGCAGGCTCTGTTGTCTCCGTACTCTCCACAACTTCTGGCTCAGGTTCAGGCATAACCCTGGTCAATTTAGAAGGTTCTTTAGGTGGAGTCCAGTCAGGGATGATCTTATCATGGATGCGCCATGTTCCGTACAGATTAGACAGATGTTTCTCAAACACTATGTACTCTAAGACGTCTTTCGATAAGATCTGCCATGAAGAAGTCGACCGAATCTGTCATATACTGCTAGCTGTTGGCGTGTGTGGAAGCGGACCGTTACCTGAAACGATAGGTGAAAAATATAATACTACTCTTTGATGAACAGTTCAAATAATAAGTAAAAAGAAGAGATTATATTAATTCTAAAATATTTTTTAGACCCAAAAATTATTCTCTTTGCTAATGACATCAGTGCACCGCGCATGCACTACTCTTGGAGGCTCTAGTGACTCAATGAACTTCCACTTGATAGTTTTCGAATGAGAATTATGCCTGAATTCAGGATATGCCTTTTCCGTAACATAAATTCTCAGAGCCTTCTTATCATTGTTTGCAAGACTTTCATGAGCCTTGATATAGGTGTCTTGAGCTTGTAAAACAAATTCTTTTTGATCAAATTCTAATTTTTGGTAAAAACGCCAGGAAGGGTGATATTGAAATAAATGATTTAGATTTTATACAACTTACTTAATGATCTATTAAACTGAAATTATAAACTATTATTCTTAAATAATAAAACTTAATGAATAATAAAAAATATCAATTTGTCTTTGGGGAGGCTTATGTTCAGCAGTGGACGACATCAGGCTGATGATGAAGTTGATGATGATCTTTTATGTTTGGAATATTTTGATTTTATTTGTTTTTATTGTAAGACATCGATTATAACAATTTTGTTTCCTCTTGTGCAGGGTACGTCGAGTACAGTGGACGTGTCGTCCCCGTCGTCGGTGCTGGGCGGTCGCGAGGCGGTGGTGGAGGCGCGCTGCGTGGTGCGGCTGGAGGTGGGCGGGCGCGGCGTGGCCGTGCGCTGCGGCCCGGCGCGCCGCCTGCGCCACGTGCTGCGCCCCGTCCTCCCCAAGTACGCCGCTCCACACGCCGCGCGCGCCGTGCTCAGGGCCGGCCGTCTGCTGCATCCTGACACACTCATGCAGGTACACTACTTTATATACTGCACTATGCGTTCACACATATGTTTCTATTGTCTCCGAATTACCACGATTTAAAGTTTAACTGATCGACTGAACTGTTCTGCTCAGTACAAAGTATCGCTTAAAACTTGTCTCACAATTACGAGCACCGGTGTACCTCGAAATTAATCGAGCACTCTCGATATAACATCTTTTAGTTTGAATAAATATTATGAAACTAATTACACGATACTTATTTCAACTAATCATTTTCGTATTACTTCTCCATAGAAAAATAACCTTTACGGACTAAAAACTAACTATAAATTTTCTTCGTCAGGAACTAGACGGCGCTCGTCTCCAAATAGTGGAAGTATCAGAGAATGGCGAATACCGCGCTGCTACAGCGGAGTACGAGGTGGACGATGACGCAGACTCACTCAGCGACCTCGCCGTCAGGTTGCAGGACGACGCCATGAAGCAGCCCGATGAAGTGGTCAGTATTCAAATATAATCTATAGATATATAACCAAGGTGTCAAGGCTACTTATAATTTTAGAATTACCAAGAAACACCAGTAAAAATGTTAATCAGTGGAATAGTGTATTAACAATATGTTTGTTGTCCTGACAGAGCGTGGGCACGGCGAGTGGCAGTAGTCGCGGCAGTAGCGGCGCCGGCCGCGTCCGCGCCGCCCTACGACCCGGGCCTCCGCTACACCATCACCCACCCGGTTCGTACTCCTTGATTACATTTTTCGTTTATGCATACATACAACTTCAATTAAGAATTAATTGCAATCATTTATCTATAAGCCTACAACATAATTTATCAGTTTCAATAACCACGTTTCTTCTTTCCACAGATTTCCTAGAGAATCTCAGAGAGACGCAACGGCAGAGGCTACAGAGCAAGGGCTCGG